GATAAGAAGTATGGTGTGCAAAAAGCCAGAAAAACACGCAGTTCACACTCTCCCCATGCTGCCCGTGGCCTCCGCGGGGCCCACCCCTCAGCTGGGCACCACGGGGGTCTGAAAGCCGCATTTTCATTCTGCAGGAACCCAGTAAGGTGGAGGGATTCTCCCCAGGGCTAGGGAGCAGGCAGGAGCCAACTCCGGCTGCACCTGACTAGGGCCGGCTATACCGAGGAGCTCCTCCCAGGAGACGGGAGCGCAAACAGTCGTTCTCAAATCGTTTGCTCTCTTCCCACGCCCATCCCCACTTCTGCCTCAAGAACAAAGGATTGAAGAGGAATGCGGTGCTCAACACGATTAAAAGACAACGAATTAAACAAGAGCCAAATAGTCAACAGAAGTAAAATGTTAATTAGGACAAGAATAACTGCAATTGAACAACAGAGCCAATCCAAAGCAATGCTGGTGGTACGCCCACAGCAAAGTGTTCTTTCCCCAGTTTGCTACGCCCAGCTCTGTGTGCACATTCACAAGCTTTGCAGCGTTGCCAGGCATAGTCATGGTGGCCTGACGTCTTGACAGAGTAATAAATCTGAGTCCTCAGGAAACCAAGTAAAACACCAATTTTAGTTCATAAATAGCACATTTTAGTAAGCTTTAGTAACACACTATGTACTTTACTGATTAGTTAATAGCTCTTGGTTGTAGGCGAAAATGAAAACCCAGGCACTTTTGCCATTTGCCTGTGAGAATTGAAGAAAGAACATTCTGTAACGTTCAGATCAGCTGGGAACCATCAGGAAGAGTCTTGTGGCCAAGCAGTGGGTTTCAAACTTAGAGGAACACTGATCTAAAACTAACATCAGAGTTAGGATAGACATCTGTGTCATCAATGGACAAGAGATGTGAGCTTCGGGAGACATTTCCATGAGGAACTGTGTGGGGACACCCTAAGAAACAAGAGGTGTGTCGCTCCTGCCATTGCGTTAGCCTGCAGAGCCCCACAGGGGAACTTCTCAGTCAGGCTCCTGGGACGTGCTGGGCGGGAGGGGGAGGCTACAGGATCTCTTTGACTGAAAATCTCTGAGAACAGCCAGCCCAGCCTCCCAGAAGCTTTGACACTGACTTGCCTGAGGGGAGAAGGTGGGCCCTGACCACCCCCCCCAAGACTTTTCTGGATCTATCATTGCACGATTCATCCTTCACCCTTTTCAATGCCCCTATGCCTTTCCTTCCTCCTCCACAAAGATCTGCCCCGTAAAAGCGTGTGCTCAACTGTGAGCAATCTGATGGGCCTGGCCCCTGTGGGAGATCTACCACAGGGAGTACTCATGCCTCCCTCTCCCCTAGTTTAACGATGCATACTGGTGAAGGGCTTGGGTCCCGGAGGCGAAATCCATACGGATTCAAATCCTAGTTCTGCTACTAGCTATGTGCCCTCTCAAGCCTCATCTATAAATCGGAGCTACTATCTCATAGGGCTGTGGGGAAAACGAACAACTGATAGGAAGGCAGGGAAAGGGCTCAGAATACAGCTGACAACACAGTGAGTGCTAGAAAGCCCAGGGCTCCTGCTGTCCTTATCAGCTGGTGACCTCCAGCGGGTGCTCTCTGCTCTAGGACAAATGCAAGGTCTTCATGAACCCTCTCCTCATCGCCAAGATTCCCCTTTCCGAACTTCCGTGTCCCCTTTTCCAGCACCCAAACGTGCACTTCTCTGCACTCTTACGTTAATGTCTCCCACAAATGCCTCTTACTGTTCCCCCATCCCTCGGGCTAGCTTGTCAGCTCACTGTGTATTGGCTCTGTGACCACAGTCCCCTTCCCCTCTATGCCTGGGGCTCAGATGGTTCGAATACAGTATAAACAAGCACATAGGTGTTGGATAAATAAATGTGGGAGGTGTACCCGGGTCATTTTTTCAGGTATACACATATTTGGTCTTTATGGTGGAGAGATAAGTAATGAGACATAATGCGCGGGGTTTCTTCTCCCAGGCTGCAAGTGAGTTACCGTGCGGCCTTAGGCGGGGTGTCTATAAAATGCAGCAGCTACCACCTGCCTGCCCCCCCCCCCCGCCGCCCCCGGGGCCAGGGCAGATGCGCTGGGCTTTTAAGCAGCGGTGGTGAAGCACAACCAGCTCCTTGATGTTAAGTATAGAGCATCTGGGTTCTGATGCTAACAAATAGGTCTCATTCTCTTTTAGCATTTCCCAGCTCCGATTGCATCAAACAAGGCCAATAAAATAGGCCTCAGCGCTTTTAGATCAGATTTCCAGAGAAATCTTCCCCCCAGTAACTCATGACTGTGCCAGGAGATTTTTCAAAAGGCTAATCTAAATTCCTTCTCACTTTAGGCTCCCTTCCCTTTGTCTTCTGCCGAACGAGATCAACAACAGCCCTGACCACCATGATACGGTGATCATCTTTATTCTTAAAATCTTTATTTCACTCTGTTTCCCAGTAATTGATCTAGACTAGAGGGGACCGTTTCCTCCCTATCAGTATTCCCATCATTTTTTTTCTCTTCTTTTTCTGTGCTTCCCCCTCTTTCTCCCTCTCCTAACCCTCGGGCCTCCCACCGGTCCCCGTGTTAGCCCGTACTGCCTGGTCCTGTAGGAGCCACCCCAGGTGAAGGACGCTCTGATGGCTGGTTTAGGCCGAGGCCTATGGCACCAGCCCCAGGATCAGAATTTGAAGGACCCAGCCCTGTATGCAACACTGATGCCCCTTGAGCTGCATCCAGGCTAGCTGAGCCTTTTGGTGAGTCAGGCACCATCACTCTCCTTGAACATCTGGTATAGAGTCCTTCGCCTTTATAATGCTAATTAAGGTGTGACTAATACCAATGCTACTCATAATCTCTGAAACTGAACTCCCAAGGGAAAGGGGAGTGGGTTCATAGGAGGTGGTGGAATTTCAGAGTGCAGAAAATATGTCCCTTAGGATAACAAGGCAGAGGAAAGAAGCATAAACATGGTACAGGACAGTGGCTAACAAATATAGTTTGGCAGCCCAGCCCTGTCTTCAAATGAAACCTTTGGTGGGATCCCACTCCTAACTCCGATCGGAGTGGCGCTGCTCTGTGTGGAAGGCAGGGTAAGGTGGTGGAGGCACGGGGCCAGAGCCCACACTTCTGCCTCCTCACCCCTGCTCTCCTCTCCTGACAGGGTGGTTCCTGCAGCATCCACAAGGAGCCCCCACGCTTCCATGAGTGAAGGAGCGACAGAGACAGCAAGAGGGGATGGCAAATCAACTTTAGGGCCTTATGGGACCATGTGGCCAACATACCTGCATAATGACGGTCCCATTGCTTTTGTTTTTTTAGTTTATGTTTCTTAGCCTTGATTTTCATGGATATATATATTTTATCATAGTATGTTTTTGTAATGCATCTCAGAATCTTTGCAGAATAAGTTGGTGTCTGGATATGTGCACACAGTGCTAGGAAGAGAGAAGCTGGATATCACATCCGTGACAAGCCATTCATAAGGTCTGGTTTCACTTGCTATACGACTCACCACTCTGAAAGATGCTATTGTATTTTTAAAAAATTTTACTTATTTATTTGAGAGAGAGAGCAAGAGAGCACAAGCAGGGGGAGCAGCAGAGGGAGAGGGAGAAGCAGGCTCCCCGCTGAGCAGGGAGCCCGATGCGGGGCACTCGATCCCAGGACCCTGGGACCATGACCTGAGCTGAAGGCAGACACTTAACCACCTGAGCCTCCCAGGCACCCTAGGTACTATGGTATTTTACTGTGCTTTATACACGATGGCTTAAAGCAAACCGAATGAAAACTAAATACACTCTAAAATGAACTCCAAGATTCTTAAGAGCCTCAAAAGTAGAACTTTACACTCTAAGACTACACTTTCCCCCTGAACGATGACAGGTGTTCTTTTTTTTTTTAATAATTTTTTATTGTTATGTTAATCACCATACATTACATTATTAGTTTTTGATATGACAGGTATTCTTAATAGCACTTATAATAAGATGTTAAACATGGATGGCCTAATTAGTCTCTTTACTTTTGCTTGTATATTTATTAGGAAGAGGGGCAGTAATAAGAAATACTTTGCTGGGCGCCTGGGTGGCTCAGATGGTTAAGCGTCTGCCTTTGGCTGGGTCATGATCCTGGCTCAGCGGGGAGCCTGCTTCTCCCTCTCCCACTCCCCCTGCTTGTGTTCCCTCTCTCGCTGTGGCTCTCTGTCAAATAAATAAATAAAATCTTTAAAAAAATACTGCTTTGTGTAAATTTGACTAAGGGCTATTAATTTCCTAAATTATCTACAGAAAAATGTAACATATATTTAAATGTCCATCAGTTTGAAAGACGCGAGAAAAAAATCTGAAATGCAAACAATTGCAGTATATAATTTTTTTTCTGATTTTTAAAGGAATATTTATAGCTTGAAAGGGAAGAGCTGGTGAAATATTTAAAAATCAGAGAGGCAATTCTTTTCCTATTTCAGGAAAATTATAGTTCTTGTAGAAGACATTGACAATTAGCTCTCAGTTGACACATACTCATTATGCTGGAATTTCTAGACTCCTCCCCTTTTTATTTCTGAGAAGGGAAACACATTTCTTTCAGAATTGGACGAATGGCTTTAATGACCTATATAATCTACAGCCCAGAAGCCAGATCCAACAGACAGCCTGCTTTCCTCTGGTCAAAGCTAAGAATAACTTTCACATTTTTAAACTGTGGGGAAAAAAAAATCAAAAGAAGAAGAACATTTCTTGACAGGTGAACATTACATGAAATTCCCATTTCGGTGTCCATAAATAAAGGTTTTTGGAATGCAGTTATGCCCCTTCATTTGCATTTTGTCTGTGGCTGCCTTCCTACTAGGATGGCAGAGCTGAGACTGAATGGCCCCAATGCCTAAAATACTCATACAGTCTGCCCTTGCACAGAAAAATTTGCCGACCCCTGACCGAAGAGATGGAGCCCACGGGAGGACCCCCTGTGTGTGTCCCTGGGGCACGCGGCAGGAGACGTACCTGGTTGAATTGGCGCAGCCATTTGTCAAGACACCAGAAACAGCAGAAGCAGCATCTGAACACGCACCTGGACCACACACCATGCTGCTGGGATCGGGGTCAGAACCAAAGGAACAGAGTCAGAAACACAGGAAAGAAGGAAGCAGGTAGACACATAGTACGTTTCTGCAGACACATAGTATGTTCCTAACTTGGAGATTCCTGCACCTGGGGAAGCATGCAGCGTGGGAGACGTTCTATTCTGCAGGTGCTATTCCGACTACGAATTATTACCATTATTATCCCTGAGGAGTGAAGTTTCTCTCCTGTGGCCTTACCTTGTGATGACTGCTGTTGCCCTCAGCAAAAAGGGAAATGGGTTATAGTCCATATTTACTAGCAAAGGTAAACTAGGCTTTCTGGTTCTAGTTAAAAAAAAAAAAAAAAAATCTCTTTCCATCTTCCCCTAAGTGTCGTCAATGATACAATTTGCTTTTACAAACCAGTTTGTATTCTTGAAAAATCCACATCCCAAATCACAGTGAAACAAATAATGCATTGTAGGTATTAATTACATGCCCATATAAAAAGAAGAATCAAGTTTAACTTTTTTTGCAAAAAAAAAAAAATCCCATACTGAGATTTTCAGGGCTAAATTTCAAGGGACAAATTAGTCCTTTGAAATATAATTTGGACATAGGCATAGCTCAAGAATGAATAATTTAATAAAACTCTTGGAGGAGGGGTGATTGGATGTGTCCTACGGACTGCGCAAAGGTTAAAAAAAAAAAAAATCCCTGTAAACAATCCTGAAATAGTCCTCTCTGAGGACCCCAGAAGTAACTCAGCCTTATATGGATATTTTCTTGTCCCACTGTTAACTCAACTGGATGAAATTTTATCTGGATACTTTTCAGCCTGGCTATGGTTGTGAATGAGCCATTTCACATAAGGAAAGCTCACACAGTGGCAGTGCGAAGTGTTTAAGTTAGACACAGTATGGGGAAAACCGCGTCTTTTTAACTGAAGAAAGGACACATCTCTCCAGTAGTGAGATCACTAAAGGGGAGTCTGGCCCCTTGATCCTTCTGGGATCTCAGGAGTGATAAATAACCTTTTAGACTTCTGCCAGAGAGACCAACCCACCGACTTCTCTTTGAGATTTATGGAAGGCTGCTGGCCCAGAGTTCAAGGTGCCTAGCTCTCGGAAGGATGGCAAGGTCCCCTACTGCTCATTAATTTGTGATTATCTATTGCTAATGCATATAATGAATATATTTAAAATAGAAATCTGTTCTGTTCTTCAAAAAAATCCTTCTTGAAATTGAAGGATCAATTGCAAAATGCAGGAGCCAGAGGAACTAGATTTGGCTTGGAATTGGAATGCCTCTTCAAGTCACCAAAATGCACGTATATTTTTACCGCTTGAAATTTAGCCCTGAAAACCTCACCATAGGATTTATTTCCAAAAAAGTCAAACTTGATTCTTTTTTAACGTGGGCACATAATTCGTATCTACAATGCAATCTTTCAGTAGAAATATAAGAAAATACTCTATGCTCAGGGGAGCCGCTTAGCATGTATTTCATGATAAGGAAGCTAGATAATTTTATGTGAAATGCAATCCATTATTCCGGATTCATATACTAATCTTAAGTCTTGATTATAGACTTAAAAAATATCAAACAATTTAAAATATAGGAATAAATCCATGTGTAGAATTTCCCCAATTTACTAAGGACACAAGGTTGGAATCAGGTAAACTTGTGAAACTCTGATCAAGTCACAAGCACTGAGGTGGGGATGGGGGGAGGGATTAACAATCGTGTGAGAACAGAAAAGTTGGGAAAAGTCCAACCTTCCCTTGTTTGGCAGGCCAGAAATACCATGAGAACAGCTGTTTTCCTGGTGTTCTGGTTTCCACTGGCATTCATAACCAAATGTGCATGGAAATAAAAACCAGGGAGGAGAAAAACCCCCAGGCACAAAAGCCCTACAGTTTTCTGTCTTTTGAGCTGAGATTTAGGTCAGCTTATCCATTTCTCACTATTAAGCACATTTTCTCTCGCTGTCTTTGTCTCTCTCTCTCTCTCTCTCACACACACACCCTCTCTCACATACACACACGTGCATGCATGCGTGCACACACACACATACACACACACATTCTCTCTCACACTCACTTATTAAAACTCTCCCCCCCCAACACCAGTCACTTCCCATGGCACCCTCTAGGAAACAGAAAAGTAAGGAATATTTTAGCATTAAAACAAACAAACAAATATTATTCCTATCTTGTAGCATATTTTCTTACTTAAAAAAAAATCTTGTAGTATATTACTTAAAAAAAAAAGCAGGATAAATGTCTACAAAACTTGTTAAAAGTTTTATCTGAAAAATCCCTTCCGTTTGTTGAGCATTTAGATGAGAAGGAAAACCAGCTAACTTAGAACTACTCCCTCCCCAACCCACCTCCACCACCCTGTGGTCAAAAAAACAAACCCCAAAACCCCAAACAACAAAACAACAACAAAACACCCAACAAACAAAACAGGCTAGGGACAAAAACGTAGCTGGTGCGGGGGGTGGGGGGGGCCAGACCTGAAGAACACTGAGGCTTGGGAATGGCCACTGTCACAGGTCCACACTGCTGTCCTGGGACCTGTGGCAGCTGTCCAGTCAGTACCTTTTCTGCCCCTTCAAAACCCTCTGCCACGTGCACTAAGGAGCTGCCTTACCTTGCCTTTCAGAGCGTTGGAAATGTACATGAGAATGGTTCTCGGAATCCTCATCAGAGTGATCAAAAACGACCCTTTTATGGCTGTTCCTTGATGGTAGCAGAAAAGAATGGAGAGAGACCAAAGGATTGGGCGATCAGGAGGGTCATTTTTATTTCTGGGAATAGAGGGGAAAAGATAGCATTTAAAAAACACCATTTAAAACTTCTCTCCGGTTCAAATCATCACCGGTGCTAACATTTATAAAGCAGCAATGCAATTTGGCAAAGCTTTTATACACGTTCGTAGCTAAGGTTAAATTATTCCTTGGACTAACTCCTTTTCATGGCATTCAATGCTACTAACAAACAGAACGGAAAATTAAAAAAAAAAAAACCACTGAGGAATGAAAATAAACAGGCTTTCCTCTTTACCATGCCTCCCCCCTCCCCCAATCCTGTAAGTTTTCTCTTAATCTCATTTTCACTTTCAGAAGTTTAATTATGTAATCATTTCCAAGGTCTACATTACATATGTAAATATTGCCAGCATTAGCTTGGTGATTAAAATCACCACCAAATCAGGTGACCAGGAAGGGCAGCCACAAGGACACCGATGAGCTCCAGCTTGATTAAAGGGACAGAAAGTTTCGGCTTCTACACAGCTCAAGTCTCCTAAAATCCAGCTGATTTCTACTCTGCTCTTTAAAGGTCTCTTCAGTGTGAATCATTTGTGGAGCATGTCATGACACAGCAACCAAGAACACAAAAGCCAGTTTCACAAGCAGGGGGGAAACAAAAAGTAAAAAAGAACAGAATGGGCGTGGCCTTCACCCTACCCCAAACCTGCTAGAAGAGAGGCAGGGCTGGTGCCACCCCTCCCCTGACCATCTTAGTTCCCGCTGGTGCCAGTTCTAGAAAATGAGGCCCTTTCCAAGAAGCCACCTCACTGATTCCAAGTGAGGCTTGCTTACTTCATAATGGATTATTCTACAACTCGCTCGTCACTAATAAGCCACTATGAATTAAGGTTTTGACAAGAGCCTAGGTTTTGAGGGAGAAGAAAGGAATGCGGCCAGAAAGGTCTCAAGAGTTGGCAAAAGTCTGTATTTTGCTGTTACTGAAGTCCTCCAGGAAGGAAAGGAGAACCCGAAAGTCCTATTGGGAGCAGAGTAATCATGATCCTGTCGCCCCACAAAAAGGGTGATGTGTGTTTCAACTCAGTGTTATTGAAAATAGGAAATACCAGGGAAACTATTGCTGATATGAATTCACGTTGGTCTGATAAACTAGAAGAGTAGTACCGGCCAGGAAAATCTGACACGCTTTTTCCCTTTCCTCAGCCTTTTTTTTTTTTTTTTTTAAGGAAGGAAGAATGTTTACTTTTCCGTTTAGGAGATTTATGTGCCTTAGAACTTATTACAGTGCTCGAGAAGATGCAGGGGAAAGAGGACAGCACCTGCTTTCCATCTGGTAGGGAAACAAGTGACTCACAGGCTACGCGAAGGGGGCTCTGGAGTCTGGTCCTCCAGGTTTTGAAGTCTGGGTTTGCGCCTCATCTTTCTGAGAAGGTTTTGCTGGGAGGGGATTAACCACTTCAGGCAGCAGCGGGGGGACTGCTGTGGCCCGTGACACATCCTGACACTCCAGCCTCTCCAGGGCTTGGGTGGAAGAAGATGCGTTAGTTCCAGGAGCTGGCTTCTCACGGGACAAGAGAGAAAGTTAAAAAGAAGACCCTTCCAACTCAGGCCAGCTCGTGGAGTCAGGAGGCGTTCAATACCCACCCCAGCCCCCCATTAGAAACCACCCTACAGGAAAGGGTTAAATGAGTGGAGTGTCTTTGAGGCCTCCACCTTCTCTTGTCAGACCTTTCTCCATGGTCAAAGGTAACATCGTCCTGCCCTGCCTCCCCTGCTGTGTTTGTGGCCACGAACTTCATCTCTGTCTCCTTCACGAGCAGCAGAACCCGCCCTCAGGAAGAGGACCTGATTATATCCGATGAAGCTTAAAATAATACTCCTCACTGGATTTCATCGTCTCTTGAGAACCGGCTTGCGGGGTGGCAATGCAGGGCCGGGCGTGTCGGGCACCCCAGTGAGCTGCTGAGGAAGCTGGGGCCTCCCGTCAGGCCTGCCCTCTGTCCCTAGGGCTCACTGCGTGTGCAGCACCTTCCACCCCGCTTCTGTGGGGGTGGCATAAGGAAGATCTGGTTAGTGTGAGACAGCAGGTGACCCTAGCACGTGCTCTCCACAGCCTGGGCCCAGCTTCCCCCTCCTTTTAAACTTGCGGCTGTCCTGTGGGAGCTGGAGCCCCAGGACACCACAGCAACTCAAGGCGCTCAGCAGAGGCTCTAACCATCCCCTCCATCCGAGTCCTGTGGTGGCTTTGGGTCATGGCACACTAGGGCTGTGCGGCGACCACTCGTCCTGCGGAAAACACGGCATCAGGCCAAGCAAGCACCTTCAGGGTCCTAGAGGCAAGTGTCACTCCAGTGAGATCCGGCCCAGCACTGGGGACTCTTCAACAGTATGAGGAGTAACTGTGTGCTTGAGGCTCCTGGACAAGGACCAGCCTGAACGGGAGGGATGGCCTCCAGTGTAAATCTGGTCCCCAGCAAAGGGGCACTGTGTGGTCCCTGAAGAGACTATCCTTTCCTGAGGTTTCTTTCAGCAACATCACAGTACGGTCCATCCTTCCAACCCTCCAGGAAAAGGAGATTGTCTTCATTATGAAGAAGAGGATTCTGTAGCTGTCCTCAGAGCCTCTTGTTAGGGTGAGGAAATCCATCAGTCTCCTGCCTAAATCCCAAAAGCTCGGCTGTTCACCCATCCCCCTCATTGCCTTCTCAGCCAATCAAGAGCTGCTGGAAACCATCTTTGGGATATTTGAAAGCGATGATGAAGTCATGCCTCAAGCGCCCCTTCTCCAAGTTGAATGGTTCTAGTTCCTTCCTATCACCATCCCCAGCCACATCTTTATGGCTCTCTATTGACCCCTCTTCAAGCGAATGGTTGTAAAAGAGAAATTTGACAGGTCGCCGTATCCTGGCACTTGATGGTCTCTGCATGAGCTCTTCAGCCCTCATGATGCTTACGTGAATGACAAAGATGAACGCACGCTGGCGAATCCTCCCCGAGTGCAGGCCAGAACATGAGATACTGTCAACCTTGGGACAAGGGAAAACCTTAAAGTTTCAAAATTCAGCACCATGTAAAAAAGAAAGTGGAACTCCTTAATAAAGAAATAGTGCTCTAAGTTAGTTGACACGCATTTTATTTGTACCAAAGTAATATGTAAATATCTTAAGTCAAATAGCATGAGGCTAACCAGGGAAGATAGCAGTTGGCTTTCCCCACTGCTCATTTTCTTTCCCTAGAGGTATGTTAGCTATTTCTTCTGTAACTCACCCCACACTTCCAAATTACATGTTCTTTCTGCCATGTGTTTTTTTGATCCTCTGATATTGTCTACTGGCTTCTCACTTTTTTTTTTTTTTTTTTTTTTTTTTAGAGGTGGTGGGAAGGGCAGAAGGAGAGGGAGAGAGAATCCCAAGCAGGCGCCACAAGTGTTGTGGAGCCAGATGTGGGGCCCCATCTCACGACCCTGAGATCATGACCTGAGCCAAAACCAAGAGTCAGATGCTCAACTGACTGAGCCATTCACCCAGGCGCCCCTGACTTCTCATTTGAAACATGTTTGTCGATTGTTTGTCTTATACAACCTAAACATTTTCCCATTCTCTCCTTCTTCTCAATATAATTATATTGAACTTTTTAGAGTTTTTCCCCAGCTTTATTGAGATATAATTGACATAAGAAATTGTGTAAGTTTAGGGTGTACGATGTGTTGATCTGATACTTACATATTGCAAATGATGACCACCACAGCGGTAGCTAACAATGTTGTATAATTACATTTCTTTATTGTGGTAAGAGCATTTAAGTTCTACTCTCTCAGCAATTGTCAAGTATATGATACAGTCTTATTAACCATAATCTCCATGCTGCACATTAGATCCCTAGAACTCATTCATCCTAACTTGAAGCCTGTACCCTTTAACCAACATCTGCCCATTTCCCCTAGCTGCGTCCTCAAGCCCTGGTAGTCACCACTCTACTGTTGCTAAATTTCTATTGTTTTGGCTTTTTTACATTCTGCATATAAGTGAGATCATACAGTATTTATCTTTCTCTGACTTATTTCGCTTAGCAACAGTGCCCTCAAAGTCCATCCACATTTTCCTCTTTCTCATGACTGATGAAAATTCCATTGTGTGTGTGTGTGTTTGTGTGTACCACAACTTCTTTATTTAGTCATCTGTTGATATTTGATTAACATTTGGGTTGTTTCTATAGCTTGGCATTGTGAATAATGTTGCAATAAACATGGGAGTGCAAATATCTCTTTGAGATCCTATTTTCATTTCCTTTGGATATATACCTAGAAGTGGGATTGCTGGGTCATAGGGTAGTTCTATTTTTAATTTTTTGAGGAAGTTCCATACTGTTTTCCATAGTGGCTGCAACAGTTTGCATTCCCACCTATAGTGCACAGGGGTTCCCTTTTCTCCATATCCTTGCCAAAACTTGTTACCTCTTGTCTTTTGATGACATCCATTCTAACAGGTGTGAGATGATATCTCCTTGTGGTTTTGATTTGCATTTTCCTGATGATGAGTGATGTTGAATACCTTTTCATGTACCTGTTGGTCATTTGTATGTCTTCTTTGGAATGATATCTATTTAGTTCCTCTGCCCGTTTTTTAACTGGATTTTTTTTAAGAGGTGACCTTTATTTTATTTATGTATTTATGTATTTATTTATTAAATCTGTGCATTTCTTTTTTTAAAAAAAGATTTTATTTTAGAGAGAGAGAAAGTGTGCTCGTGCAAGTGGGGGAAGGGACAGAGGGAGAGAGGGAGAGGCAGAAAATCTCAAGCAGACTCCATGCTGAGTAAGGAGCCTGACCCTGGACTCCATATCAGCCTGAGATTGTGACCTGAGCTGAAACCAAGAGTCAGACACTTAACTGACTGTGCCACCTTGGCACCCCTTTATTTATTTTTTTAAAGATTTTATTTATTTGTTTGAGAAAGAGAGCGAGAACGAGAGAGAGCGAGAGCGAGCATGAGTGGGGGTAAGGCCAGAGGAACAAGCAGACTCCCCACTGAGCAGGGAGCCCAATGCGGGACTCGGTCCCAGGACCCTGAGCTGAAGGCAGATGCTTAACTGACTGAGCCACCCAGGCACCCCTATTTATTTATTTTTTTAGAGGGAGAGAAAAAGACAGCATGCATGAGTGGGGTATGGGGGAAAGGGGCAATAGGAGAGGTTGAGAAAGAGAATCTTAAGCAGGCTCCACAAGTGTGGAGCCTGATGTTGGGCTTGATCTCATGAACCTGGGATCATGACCTAAGCCAAAATCAAGAGTCATACACTTAACCAACTGAGCCACCCAAGTGCCCCTTAACTGGATTTTTTGTTGTTACTGGATTATATGAGTTCTTTATATATTTTGGATATTAACTTATGATATATGTGATGTGCAAATATTTTTTTCCATTTCATAGGTTGCCTTTCATTTTGTTGTTTTTTACCGTGCAGAGGAGCTGAACAACCTATATCTTGAAAACTACAAGACTTTGATGAAAGAAACCGAAGAAGACACAAACAAATAGAAAGATATTTCGTGTTCAAGGATCGGAAGAACTCATATTGTCAAAATATCCATACTATCGAAAGCCATATATAGATTCAATGCATTGCCTGTCAAAATTCCAGTGACATTTTTCACAGAAAAAGAAAAGGCAGTTCTAAAATTTGTGTGGTATTACAAAAGATCCTACATAGCCGAAGCAGTCATGAGAAAGAACAAGCCTGGAGGCATCACACTAATTTCAAAGTATGCTACAAAGCTATAGTAATCAAAACAGTGTGGCACTGGCATAGAAATGACACACAGGGGCACCTGGGTGGCTCAGTTGGTTAAGCGACTGCCTTCGGCTCAGGTCATGATCCTGGAGTCCCGGGATCGAGTCCCACCTTGGGCTCCCTGCTCAGCCGGGGGTCTGCTTCTCCCTCTGACCCTCTTCCCTCTTGTGCTATCTCTCATTCTCTCTCAAATAAATAAATAAAATCTTAAAAAAAAAAAAAATAAATAAAGACACACAGATCAGTGGAACAGAATCAAGGGCCCAGAAAGAGAAAGGGATAGTCCCTTTAATAAACGGTGTTGGGAAAACTGGGTAACTACATACAGGAGAATGGAATTACACCCCTATCTTACACTACTCACAAAAATTAATTTGAAATAAAGACTTAACCATAGGAACCAAAACCATAAAACTAAAGACAACATAGGGAAAAAGCTCCTTAACATTGGCCTTGGCAATGATTTTTTGAATATGACACAAAAGCACAGCCACAAAAGCAAAAATTAATAAGTGAGACTACATCAAACTAAAAAGCTCTGCACAGTAAAAAAACCAACAAAATGAAAGGCAACCTATGAAATGGAAAATTTTATTCCTAAGTATTTTATTGATTCTTGATGCTATTGTGAATGGGGTGGTTTTATTTTTCAGATATTTTGTTGTTATAGAAATGCAACTGTTTTCGGTATGTTGATTTTGTATCCTGCAACTTTACTGAATCCATTGATTAGTTCTAACAGTTTTCAGTGGAGTTTTTAGGCTTTCTCTCTATATAAGATCACATCATCTACAAACAAAGACAATTTTACTTCTTCCTCTCTGGGTACCTTTTATTTCTTTTTCTTGCTCTGGCTAGGACTTCCAGTACTATATTGAATAGGAGTGGTGAGAGCGGGCACTCTCGTCTTGCTCCTGATCTTAGAGGAAAAACTTTCAACCTTTTACCACTGAGTATGTTTTAATCAGTGTTTAGTGTTTACATTATCTGTACATAAATAACATTCACAACTGATCTAAGTAGTGTATTTTTTTAAAAAATTATGTATTCATTTATTTTTGTTGAAGTATAAACCAAGTAGTTATTCTGATTATAGTTTCTTTCCTATACAACTTTTGGGTTTTCCTGAAGTTAATAATTGTTTCACATTTTTTATTTGCTTGGTTTCCCATGGGCTTTACTGAATGCTTCACCAAAGTATAAATCTTTTCTCTACTTGTTCAAACACATCTGGTATTCTCTTAGTTTCCTTCCCCCCTTGGACACATGCCTCTGGGAGCCCACTGCTCTCCTGCTCCTCCTTGGACTGGATATTTTTTTTATACCTGCTTCATAGCTACCCTTCTGGGAATTCCCTATTCTTTCCTGTGTTGGAGCCCATTTCCTGAAACTCCTATTTTCCTCCCTGGCTTACTCATTCATTTCAGAGGAGAACACCCTTCCTAAGAAAGGAGATAGGGAGCAAAATCTCTTGGGATGTTGCAGTCCTGAACATGACTTTATTTTCCTTTACCCTTGACTGACAGCATGAATAGGTATAGATTTCTAGTTTTGAAAATAATCTCTCGTTAGAATTTTGACAAGTTTGCTTCATTGTGTTCCTGGTTCAGAGTTGCTGTTGAACATCAGACCCCACTCTAGTTCTTGATCCTTTGCCTCTGATCTATTTTTCCCTTTAGAAACTTCTGGGATCTTCCCTTTACTCATGTCCTCTAGCTCTGGGAAATTTTCTTTGATAACTTCCTCCTTTCTCTTTCCTTTGTTCTCTGTTTCTGGAACTCATATTAGTCAGATGGTGAGTCTCCAAAATGTATCCTCTAACTTTTTATCCTTCCTTTATTTTCCATCTTTCTGTCTTTTTGCTCTGTCTTCTGGAACAATTTTTCAATTCTACATTTTAATCCTTCAGGAGAAAAATTTCACTTTTGCAATCGTATTTTTAATGACTAAGAGGTCTTCCATTCTTTTTTTTTTTTTTTTTTGTACTTCTTTTATGGATGCACTATTTCTTTGTTCTTTCTGAGGATATCACAGGTTTTTATATATTTTTTTGTAGTTTTCTTCTGCTGCCTGCATTGTCTCTATTTTCCCTAAATTCCCTGTTTTGTTAATTTTGATCTTTTTCTTTCACTAGAGGTTTTCTGTGAGTGTTGAATCACCACTGGCTACCAATTCAATTTAAGACTGAGGACCTACAGAGTGAACTGGCAGCTCTGTATGAGGGGTGACAGTTTCCTGGTGAGTTCCACTGTCTGGTTCAGTCAGGGAATCATTTCACTGGAGGACCCCTCCCCCACCATATGGCATTATCTGCAGGTCTTTACTTTGGATTGGTAAGTTCTCCAAAGAAGAATCCTCTAATCTCTTGTCAGGGGGATATCAACGCAGCTGTCAACATCCTAGGAGCTGAGCCATGGAATGCCCGTTGCTGGTGGCAATGGGGGTCCTCACTATGCGGTTTTTAGGCTTTTACTTATCTCCCCTTCTTTCAATACAGAGCCTTACGCCCAGCCTCAGCTGTGCCAGACACTCCAAGTCCAGACCCTTTCTGGTTTACCCCTCCAGAAAGCAAAGCTCCTATCTCCTGTTGGTTTGGAGGAGAGGCCCTGGAGCCTAACTGTTCCTTAGGAAGACCTGTAACTAACCTTCAAAAGTACATTTTACACTTGAATTCCTGGCCCCCTAGGTTTTTGTGGCTCACATCAGCCCATCTTATTTTCACCTCCTCTCCCAGCCAACACACACAGACAGGCCTTTTTAGGTTTGTCTAGTTGGCTCAGTTGCTACTCACCCATCCTCTCTTCAGCTTTCAACATTTGGTTGGTGTTTCTTTTCCCTGTCATTTCCTATTGTCTCTGTACATTTATGCCTCTTTCATTCTTTCATGGTTTGGGGGGAGGGGAGTTGGAGTAGGAGGAGGGGTTGGAGATACAGCTCTATGCTTCACTGGAAGTCCAAACCAAAAGCCCCCACTGAAAATGCTTCAGTTTTGTGATTCTAAGGTAACACAAAATCACTACTGTCAGACGGTTGTTATCTGCTAGCCAACGTGGTTAGAATAATCTTTGCTCCCGTACTCAGGAGCAAGCAGCTCATGCCACCCACCTCCAGTGGCTCAGAGGTCCTCAAGGCCAAGGGCTACAAGCCTTGTGTGCATCCCACAGAGTCTCTAATGATGAAGGCTCCCAAACAGCACCCCTGTATTAAAACCCACAGTGCTCCTTACTGTCCGGAGGTAATTGCTCATTGGGATGAATCATCCCTGGTTGACTTTCTTACACCCACAAATATTCATGCTTATCTGCTCATTTGGTCTGAGAGATTAGAGGAGGCTCAGCCCTATAGGGAATAAACTTCCTGTCCTCAGTCCAACCCTGTCATTGTCCTGGCCTGCTCTACTTGCCTGCGGTTTTACCTTTGCTCCATGGAGAGTCACACACACACAAACGAGGTAAAAAGTTCGGGGAGGGGTGTGTGTCCTCAATTATTTTGATGAGGTCATGGGGTGAAAACACTTAAATAAGTATCATGGTGAACAAAGAAGCAAGTAATTAATTCACTAGTATTTAACACGAACTGTATTTTATAGTTATATACAATTTCCTTAGGGTTTAAAATTATTTTCCAAGAAAACACTTCCCTCATTTTTTTTACAGACATCAACCTTTCCTTTCAGACGTCTTTCAATTCTAAGCAGTTGGATTATGTCCCTGTTTTGCTTCCCTCTGAATTTTCTAGTTTAAGGCGAAAGAGCTTGGAAATGTGACACATTTAAGGTATAACATTTCTTTTCACTACCAAATGAGCATCCTGTTCCAATTTTGACCTTAGTCTTTGACTCCTGCCAACCCCTTTTTAAAACTCCAAAGTATCTTTTGTGATACCGGACGTGAAGCACGTAGACAAATCAAGAGCAGTAATCCTACCTGTTGAAATAGCAAGTGACCAGTGCCCCGGCTACCGTCATTTGCTGGCATGCGAGGATGAATTCGCTGGTCCAGATGAGGCCAATTAAATGATACCACCACATATACCGAATGCCTACGAGAGGCTGATACTCCACTTGGCCACCTTCAATAACCCGTGCAGCTCCTAAAGTTTAAAACACAAACATGCTTTACACCAATGTTTTCCAAAGCATGGAAAGATGATTCAACAGGCCACGCTTCCTTGTGGCGGGCTGTTGTCATCAGGTAGACGCACAGATGCCAGAGTAAAGTTGGTAGCATCCACCCTCATTTGAGATCTTCATAGCACACACTGAAAAATGAGAACACACATTTAACTGATGAGTAATATCAATAACAATATTCATAATGACTGATGGGTAGGCAATTTGCAAGACACTTGACCTATATACTCTAATGCTCATCCCACTTTGTAGATATGAAAATTGAGGTTTGGAAGAGTCAGGGAACTTTTCATAAAGTCTCACTGCTCATGATTAGTGGAAGGAGACTATAAACCCTGACACACTGGATTCTAACATCCATGGTTTTTCTACCATACCACTTTGTGATACAAACAAAACTTGTTATTAGGACTATAGCCATTAGGACTATATTCTAGAACACTGCTTCCACAAAAATTTAGAGTTTATAAACGAGACAAGGATCTGCATTTTTTTCAAAGGGATTCATTTCAGATTTCATTTCAAGGGCAAACTCTTCTAGCACATTTAAAATACCTATTGGGTCTCAGTGTTAACCTAGGTTCATATCTCAGCTTGAACTGGGTAAGCTATTCAGTCTCCTTAGGTATAATACCAATTTCCTGCTGGTAGTTTGAATGAGATTACACGGTAAATGCTTAATATAGGGCCTGGTCCATAGAAACTTCACTCCATAAGTGATAATGATTTTATTAAATTTCAGGAGCTCAATACTGTATTAAACCAGGCCCGCAGGGTCAGCCCAATAGTGCTCTGCCATTCACATGGCCAGTCCCTGTTTTATTTGCCCTCATCTAAGGAAGCCCCTGAATTAGCTCTGCAATTCAATTCAATTCAGGTTGGACTTAGTAAATCCAAATCCCAGCTCTGTGGCTATGTGTAATTTCTAGATGTTCTCCCACTATGTATTTAAAATTATTGTAACTATACCAACTACAATCCTAAAACTACTGTAAGTCAGAAGATGGGCATTTCAGTCTTCAGCAAAACCTACAACTGGAACGACATTTAAATAGTTTCATATTTTCTTCCTTAGCTATAAATTGGTTTTAGGCTCATAATTCCCGTGTCTATAGACATTCACAAGAGGGTCTCTGCAAAGGAAGTTGGAGAAGATAATCGTGCTGTAGAGCAATCTGATTCCACGGACAGAGTTCGTTCCTTAGGCTCTGTGTTCTGCTGAACAAGACTCACATTGTGAGAAACAGTGGAGCAGCTTGATTTACAGAGAAGTTAATATTTTATTGAGCACTGGGCTCTTTCTGGCTGGGAGGCAATCTCTGTCTCAGGTACAGCACTGATAAATGTTGATGCTTTTCCAAAACGGGTGTGTTTCAGAAAAGCATTCCCAGCACTAGAGGAGGTGAGCCCCTCACCACTAACGCAGGGGCTTAGGCAGATCAGGTCGGTGGGGACTCGAAGAATCACTTCATGGAATGTCAGAGTGACCAGGGCCAGCCAACAAACACACTGTACTTCCTGCAAGGTCAAGTCCTGGGGATAGATGGCAGTTTCGCAAGAACAGGCCTACAACGTCACAAACGGTTTGGGGGTGGAGAATGTTCCCGCAGAACAGGAGGGATGCTTTCTTTGGCAGACAGAAGGTAAATACAGAGCCCTGGCTGCTAAAAGGGGGCCTTTTGGCTGCCCTGTGCCAGCCCCAGCAGGGGCACACTCACACACATTCTGGCTCGGCACGCGGATGGCAGTAGCGACTGGAGAGTGGCTAAAGTGGTAAGTCCAGGTTCACACAAGCCTTCCAACACTTGGCATTCCCCAAAGCAGCAGAACCCATACGGTACTCTGGTCACTGCTGTTTTAGAGTATCTTCGTCTCAGCGACCTTCTATTTGTTCCTCTGGTTCAGTCGTATCAGGCTGTTTCTAGACTTTCCTTTGGGGCAGGGTTTCTCAACAAACCAATTCCCATTTTGGTGCAGATAATCCTGTTGGGGGTGGGGGGCTGTCCTGTGCCCTGTAGGATGTTTAGCATTCACCCTGGCCACCACCCATTAGATGCCAGGAACAACCCCCCCTCCCCTCGTCCAGTTAAGACAGCCCAGAAGGGCTCTAGACATTGCCAAATGCCACCTGGGGGCTAGACCTACTGCTCAAAAACCTCTGCTTTAGGCAAACATCCTCTGAAGAATCAGATCAGGCGCTCAGACTTCAGGCTGAAAGCCTAGGAAGCAGCGGTTACCGCCTGTGGGTGGGGCAGGCCTGTTTCTGCGCACAAGACTGCCCTCTCCTGGACGACAGTGTCAGTGCAGGCACGAGCCTCCATCAGAGGACCCGCTGCTTTGTTGCTGAAGACTGTTCAACTATGGCTACTGCTATGTGTAGCCAACGCGTGTTAAGGGGAACTAGACTTCAGATAGATGCGAAGCTACACATAGATCACAGGGATGATGGACGATGGATGATGTGATCAGACAGATCACAGGGATGATGGTGCAAAGGGCACTGAACTCAGAGAGGACTATGGTCCCAGTCTCAGCTTTGACACATGTGATAAGCAACCTGGGCCTCCACTCTCTCATTGTCAAGATGAAGAGGGTGGACAAGATGAACCCTGGGGCAGAGATTACAGGCTTGGGCTTGAGTCCCACAGGCTGAGATTCATATCTCTGCACCATCCCCTAATGGCTGACCAGCCTCGGGCAGGTTATGGGACCTTGTAACATCTCTGTTCCATCACTTGTAATCGGAAGACACTAATACCAACTCCTTGCACCCCTGGTGACCCCATCTAGTCTTGTGGCCCCGATGGCCACATATGTAGCTGCTATGGGGATTAAGTGGCTAAGACCCTGGGAAGAGTGAGTACAATACAGGGTTAGCTATAACTGAAAGACAGGTAGAGAGAATTCCAGCTCTGGAATTAACAAATGTTTATTAAGCATCTACTGCATGTTGGAATGATGCCGGACATTAGCCATTAAGGGGAGAACATGAAAGAAGCAAACAAAACATCAGAAAGAAGATACCATCTGAGTGACTATCAGGAACTCCCATGTTGCTTTATTCATCTACTCATCTCCCCTTCTTCTGGACTGTTTATAATTCCTCCTTGAGCCTCTAAGGTTTTTTTTCCCCATTGCTACTCTCTGTCAATGACCTTACTTCTGGTTTCTCTGAGGAAAGTGGAACAACTGGAAAACCTCTGCGGGTGCCTACCCCCAACATCTACCTGCTGTCAGCATGAGCCCATAGCCCGACCCCCACTTACTGGGATAAACTGTCAGCTCTTCAGCAATTCCCCCCTCCTGCTTCCTTCATCCAAGTATGCCTCTCAACGGAATCATTTTCAACCATCTCTCATCTTTAAAAAACAAAAAACAAAACAAAAAAAAACCCTTCTCCTAACTCTCCTCCAGCTTCCTTGACATTTCTGTTCCTCTTTAAAAATTTTTTAAAAAGTTTCTTTATTTATTTATTTAAAAATAATCTCTACACCCACGCTCTTCTGAGTGAGCCAGTCAGGCACCCCTCTGTCCCTTTTTATGGCCAAATTCCTCAAGATTGTGCCTACTTAACTCTTTTCAATTCTTTTCTCCCTCTTTCCCTTAAACCCACTTGGATCATGATCCAATCCCTGGCACTTCCCTGAAGTGGTTTTGTTGCTAAATTCAGTGATCAGTCCTCGGGCCTTATCTCGCTTAACAGTAGCATTTGACCCACTGGACGCCACTCCCGTACCCCTGAAGCCCTTCCCCCACACTCCAGCACAGCACACTTTCCGTCCTCCTGCCCACTGGCTGCTCCTGGTCAGCCTCATTTCTGTTCTCCTCCCCAGCCCCTGGATCCCTTACCACTGAAGGTCCCCAAAGCACAGCCCTTGGATTTCCACTCTTCTCCCTCTGCACTCATTCTACCCTCGCGGTTTTAAATACCATTTATATGCTTCCAGATTCCCAGATGTAGATCTCTAGCTGGGACCTCTCCAGAAAATTCAGATTCAAACAGCTAATTGCCCACTTGACATCTCCATCTGGCTGCCAAAAAGATGTTTCAATTAACATAATCAAAACCGATTAGATCTCCCCTAAAATGCTCTACTCAGAGTCTTGCCCCAGCTTAGCTGATGGCAGTCTCATCCTTCAGTAGCTAGGTGTCATCTCTAAATCTCCTTCCTTCACACCCTCCACTAACACATCAGGAAATCCTTCAGAAGAGCCACAGATCTGATAAGTCACACCTCGTCCATTATTATGCAAGCATCATCTCCTCCCTGGATGGCTGCTATTAAAATGTAAGTCAGATCATGTTACTATTCTGCTTAAAACCGGAATGACTTCCCACCTCAGATTAGAACCAGACTTCCTACAAAGGCTGCAAGGCCTAAGGATCTGACCCCATGCCCTCTCTGACCCCCTCCTGACCGTGCTCTCCCTCTCCCTCCCCCCGCTCTGGCTGAGGGGGTCTGCTTGCTGTGCCCCCAGTACCCTTGCCTCTTGCTGGTCCCTTTATCCTTGCCTTCTCTTTGCCAAGAACACTGTCCCTCCCCTTATATGGCCTCATCACTCCACCCGTACCTCTTTCAAATCTTTGCTCACCTATCACCTTCTCAATGAAGCCCTCCCTACTCACCAAGTTTAAAATTGCACTCCCCCTTAAACATTTCTCATTCCTCCTCTCTGCTTTAACTTTCTCCATACCACTTACCAACTTTTAAGGTACTGTAAAATTCACTTATTTATTTTAATGCCCATCCCCCCTCTAGCTTCCAAACTAGAAGGAAAGCTGTATCTCTAGCATCTATAACAAGGTCAGATATAGTAAATGTTCAATAAATATTTATTGAATGAACAAACGAATGAATGAATCAACCTTCCTCAATAAATCCAACGAATATAGCTCCAATATATCCTGTATCCCTAACATATCTTACTATAGAGATCTGAGACAATTTTCGGGTTATCA